GTCAGCTACTACACTAAATGCGAATGGGGTAAGCTACCCTATACAACGACAAAGTCAAATTGGGTTTAAAAAAATCAAGCTGAATGATGATTATAAGAAAAATAACTAAAACAAAGTGACAAAAAATTGTTAATGTTCTAGTACACACAGGAAAATACAAACCAGAAAGAAAGGAGGAATGCCAAAAATAATATTTCAAGTATAAGAGATGTAAACAAATTTAAAAAGGTTCCTAAAGATGTTACATAATTATAAAGATGAAATGCACTAGAAATATATTGATTAAATAGTATATATATGTACATATGTTATGTATGTATATGTGTGCATGTATATATGAAACTTTTATCCATTAAGCAATATAGCAGCAGAATATGTAGTGCAAAAGATGATTGTTTCATTAAAAAAATCTTTGTGGGAAATATTTAATATACCTCTCACAGAATTTGATATGCCAAATAGGCAAAATATAAAAAGGAGTATAAAAATTTGAATAATAAATCAATATTACTGTGAATTACTAAGCCAAACTGCATCAGTTTGATCTCTCCTCTACTATATCTCCCAGATGGATGTTCTTGGACAATTAAGTTAACCTCTCTGTTCTTTAGTCCCCTTGTTTGTTAGATGTAGAAAATAGTAACATGAAACTCATCAGATTGTTGTAAGGATTGAATAAATTACTAATGAAAATGTAATGCTTGAAAAACACTACCTGACACATATTTTGGGTTATAGAAATTATCACTATGATCATTATCATTACCATCATCATTCTCTAGAAAAATATAAATGAATCAGACTGACCCAGATAGATCTAAAATAACCAAAATGAGGCCGGGCGCGGTGGCTCACGCCTGTAATCCTAGCACTCTGGGAGGCCAAGGAGGGTGGATCGCTCAAGGTCAGGAGTTCGAGACCAGCCTGACGAAGAGTGAGACCTCGTCTCTACTAAAAATAGGAAGAAATTATTTGGACAACTAAAAATCTGTATAGAAAAAAATTAGCTGGGCATGGTGGCGCATGTCTGTAGTCCCAGCTACTCAGGAGGATGAGGCAGTGGGATTGCTCAAGCCCAGGAGTTTGAGGTTGCTGTGAGCTAGGCTGACGCCATGGCATTGTACTCCAGGCAACAGAGTGAGACTCTGTCTCAAAAAAAAAAAAAAAAATCAAAATGACTAATAGTCATAGAAGAGATTGGAGAAGTGGTTTTCATTGTTCTACTGAAGTCAGTAATAATAACAGCAACAACAACAATAATATTTTGGTAGAATGATAAG